TTGGGATAAATAACGAAAGGTGGCGACTCTTCTGTTTTCTGCCGGGTGTTTTTCACAGTTGCGACACATACAGAGAGCTTTGTGTCAAAAGTGAAGAGGTGTATAGGATAGGAGAAATGTAGAAGAGAATCACAGCTCAACTGCAGGATGAAAACGAGAATCTTTTATCTACTGTCTCTGGTCTTTAAGATGAGGTAACCCTATTAAATCCTAGACTTGAAAATATGACCAAATTTGTGAGAATGTTGAACAATAGATCTGATTTGTTGGATGAGATTCTTCAAGATGGGAAATGAGGTAAAATATTTACTGGTATATGGTTTAATTATCAATCTTTAAATAATAAAAGAAAAACCCCTGTGACAAAGTTTGTTCTTGCTGAAGTAATGCATGAGCTCACGATGTCTGACCAAATGTTGCAACATCCTGTCAGACTTTAAAAAACTCAGACTAAAGCCAAGTTTCAGTCTTGAAAATGTCATTATTATGGTAAATATGGTCATATAAAGACTTATTGTTACATACTGTATGGTTATCCAAAACGTCCAACACAACCTAGGGCCAGTCATGTAATGATTAAGAATAGAAAGGAGTGGAAACCTAATGGTGTTAATACTTCTAATTTGAATGTTGTTGTTAATAAAACTGTCGATACAAGTTGTCGTATGTCTCTATCTAAGATCTTGGTTAGTAACCTCGAGTCTGATGTTGTACCGGATGTCACAACATCCTTGGCCCAACCTGATCATCTTGTTGGAACCACACAAGAAAGTTTTCATAGTGGGACTCCTCCCAAGAGAATGTGGCTGAAGATGATTTTGTTGGTAGTAAAAAAGATGATTACGATGATAATAGTATGTCTATTGAAAAGGAGAAAGATCTGTCTGACAAAGAAGATAAATAAGATAGTGATGGTGTGAAGAAGGATCAGTCTGCTAACATGCTCAATGTAGATGGTCTAGATTACTGGTATAGTAGTGTGATTAGTATGTTTGCTTGGTAAAAGGTTGTTGCTTCTGAGTTTGATTTATCTTTCTTCTGCATTGATGAATGACTACTTGGTTTATCAATATTCTGGTTTAAAAGGGGGAGTAGTAGTATTTGTGTGCTTCCATTTATGTTTATTTACATTTACTCCATTTTTATCAATTTTTGGCTAAAAAGGGGGAGAAAGGTATGGTTGTTGTTTCTGATGTTATATCAAATGTCATGACTTTATGTCATGTTCATACTACTTCTTAGGAAGAGTAGTTTTATTATTGTTGCTTACCTATTTGCAACTATTTAGGGGGAGCATGATAGTCTATCATGCTTGTTGTTGCTACTTCTTATGTGGAACCATATGTTCTGACATCATTTCATTTGTTGTGTCTAAGAGAATTTCATTTGTTGTGTCTAGGAGAATGCATTTTCTCTACAGTAGGCTGTGATGTTCAGGGGGAGTAAGCTTGTGTTTGGTGCTTTTGAAGCGTGGTTCTATTGTATGAACTTGCAAGAGTTCATGTGTGTTTTTCTTGTGATTTAGGTTTTCTCCTTGAGGGGGAGTATTGGTTATGTATGACAGGGGGAACGTTGTAACTGTCTGTTTTTCTCCTTGAGGGGGAGTATTGATTATGTATGATAGGGGAAGCGTTGTACCTGTCTGTTCTGTAGCTGCAAAGTCGCACTTTGTACAAAGATTACATGTTCTCATCTAGCTTGTGTTGTTCTGATTGATTTGTGATGTCAAACTAGATGCCTTGATATTGTGTTGTCTGATGTGCTCTATTGTCTTGACAGTTTTGGGTTTGTGGTTCTTGATGTCTGGTGTTTCTGTTTTGATTTCGCTGTGTATGACTCTGATGTGTACTAAGGTTGTTTTAGCCAAAAATTTTCAAAACGGGAGATTGTAAGTTATGTGGTTTTTGGATTGACAACATTTTGGTAAAACAACATACTGTCAGCAAGATGTTATGTCAGATGTTCTGCTATGATAGTCAAACATCATGTTCAGCATAATGTTGTGACATGTGCCCGGACATGTTATACGAGAAAGTTAAGGCATGACTGTTTTAGCATTTTAAGTGTGAGTTTTGAGTGTGTTTTAATTCACGTGTTATTGTTATCCAAAGGAGGATATTTTGGGAACCTTTGTTATGAAAATTTTGACTTTTTTCATAAAAAGAATTTTGGAGCTTTTTAAGGAAACTTTCTATTTAGTTCTTATTTTTGTGTAGAAGATTATGCAGAATATTTACAGCTGCTGTTTTGGATCTGTTGCGGTTTTTAAGCCTAAGCCCATGATTCTCAAAGGCTATTTTTTTAGAAAGGTTTTTAACCTAGAAAGGGTGTGTGTGTGTGTCGTATTTTTGTGTGAGAATTTTTCTAGGGTTTTTTGTGTTGTTCTTTGTGTTTCTCTCTTATGTCTTTTGACATCTGAGTAGGATTGTGTTAATTGACAATTGTTCACTCATTAGCTTTTAAGAAAGAGTGTATTGTCGTTAGTTTAAAGCTTTAAAGCAAAAGTAAATATTGTTCTTAGAAGTGTGTTTACTTCTATTTTGGATTATTGTTGAATTATCGCTAGTTTGTGACTAATTAGAAAGTGGGGGGGGGGGGGATCTCATATATAGAGGGTGTCTAGGTAGAAGTTGCACAAGGTAGTGATTAGGTGATAAGTTGTAAACAGGGGAGTTTAGCTTTGAACTAATATTGTCATAGTGAATTTCCTTCCTGGCTTGGTAGCCCCCATATGTAGGTGATGTTGCACCGAACCGGGTTAACAACTATTGTGTGTTATTTAAATTCCTGCAATTTTCCTTTAAATTGTTCTTGTGTTAATTCTGCTGTCACGACGTCCTGACATCATATCCGACATCAGTCCACTATGTGGCAGAATTTCAACACCTAACAATGAATTCTAACTCGTTTATAACAAAACTCGAATATTTACAAAAAAACTCGAAAAATTTACCCGAAATTTATGATTTGGAAGATGTTGAATGATGAATTGGATGGTGCTTGGTGATTACTTGAGCCTCGAACGAATGAAATCAAATTTGGTGAACTTGGAGAAATTTGAGAATGAGAGAGTGCAAGAGTTTGTAGATGAAAATGAAAAGTGAGGGAGGAAAGAAGAGTTTGTCGCGTTAATATGCTCTAAAAGTTTCGAAGATATATCTCTGAAATATTTTAACGTTCAATTGGGTTTTAGTGCGTCCAGAAATATATCTACAAAATAGTTTAAAATTTAATTGAAATTCAATGCGTCCAAAGATATATCTCCAAAATTAAATGACATATGTAAAAATCTACATGGTGAAAAAGAAAGGCATAGGATACAATAAGAAATGACTTTTTTTTTTTTTTTTCCCAATATGCCTTTCTTTCCTAATGAAACCAACCAACTTGCTTTTAAAGAAGCCCACGGCACCATACAAAAACAAACAGTTTTGTTTTCAACAAAATACCCTTAAAACGCAAAATCTCAGTAACTACATCAAATCCGCCGCTGCATCTTTGATCTCAACTAACCGGCTACTAATCTCAGGCGAAGTTAATCGTCCGACGCAAGAGAAAGCAAACCAGGTACGAGTTTTTTTCGCTTACATTTTCATTCCCCTCTCCTATAGCGCGCATGGATGCGACTCATTGCATGTTTAGATTTATGGCGAGTTTGACAGAATCACGATAAACCATAGTTTTGGAAAATCTATGTGTATTTGTGGCCGCAATAGTAGAGAACTGCTTCCTAGTACTTTGCACTGCAATTGTTGCGTTATTGAAAGAGAAAACAAAAACTTATAATGGAATCATGTGGTAGATAATAGGAAGATTATTGAAATTTTGTAATGAAAGGGAGAGATTGAGTACATGTATTTATTTATACTCCTATGATATATTCAGTTGCAAATGTTACCAGAAAGTTGAGTCCCAAAATTTAACTTTGAATATATTTAGGAATGTTTAGATTGATTTATTTATAGTTATATACTTGCATAAGAATTTGACACTGAGAAAACTTAAGAAAAGAGTTTATGACATCATAGTCGATTCCGACTTATTTCCGTAAGTTATTCAGGATATACCTTATGGAAGCAGATTATAGACTATACAAAAAAAACCCATGTTGCACTTTTGGGATAGCATAGTAGTGGTAGGGTTCGGCGCGACGGTTTTCGGCTACAAGCCGCCGTCGCAATAGATTGTTGTGGTTGCTACTTGCAGCCCCAAACTGCTATCGTGTGAGCTATTAGACTTTCTTTGAATTGATGGAATGAGATGAAATAGAGTGGTATTGGATGAAATGGAGTGGTATTCCATTGTTTGTATAATTTAAAATCGGATGGATCGGAGCGGAGTGGAACGGGCTTTCATTCCATTCCATCACTTACTACCATATTTCTTCCCTTCCGATTTGAGTGGAATGAAGAACTTGCGCTCTAGGAGAGGGGAATGGAATCTTCATTCCGCTCCGCTCTATCTATTCCATTCTGTTGTGTTCATTTTATGATATCCAAACATAGGGTTTTGGGGAGATATTCCTCTAATATTTTTTAAGGGAATAAATGTTAATTCGAACCCTTTTGAGGTTAATATTGTGTTCTTCATTTTGTTGTGTTCTTGCTCACAAACAAATGTTTGTTTTTTCTTTCTACTTTTACTTATGTTTGTTATGAGTTATGATCTTCTTCTCCATTTAAGTTTTATTGCTATGTACTTTAGGTTTTCTAAATATTGAGTATGAATGTCTTTATAATTGTGTATTTTTCTATTTTTAAATATTTGTGTTAATTTATATACTGATTTTTAGTCTACGCAATAACGGCTATCCTGCTTTCTGCTATGCCGCAATAGCATTTTAGGGGATCGATTGTACGTGACGCCGTCTGCGATTAACAACCAGGCAAAAAAACAATTCTGACTTTATTTTAATGTGTTATAAAACCTTATTCATGGTTTCTAGTTGTTACACATGTTTCATGCTTTTCTCTATTTTTGGATTGCAGATACTTAATTTGATGACTTGTGAGATGTTGGCTATTGATACGACTCGAAAGATATCATTTAATCGATTGATTAGTAATGGCGATTTGGTGATTGTGTACGAAAGGCATGACAACATGAAAGCAATAACAGTATCTGAGGGAGCAGTTTTGCAGAATAACTTTGGTGCTTTTAAACATTCAGATTGGATAGGAAAGTCATTTGGGTCCAAAGTATTCAGCAATAAGGGTGGTTTTGTTTATTTGTTAGCTCCTACACCTGAATTATGGACTTTAGTTTTAAGTCACAGGACGCAGATTCTATATATTGCAGACATTAGCTTTGTTGTTATGTATTTGGAGATTGTTCCCGGTTGCATTGTTCTTGAATCTGGTACTGGAAGCGGTTCTCTGTCTACTTCACTTGCTAGGGCAGTTGCTCCTAAAGGACATGTTTATACATTTGATTTCCACGAACAAAGGGCTAGATCTGCTAGGTAATACTGCACCTGACTTTCTCTCATGTTTGATACATCGTGTTTATCTTCAACCAATGCGGCATGTGTTAATCATGGTTATTGGTATCTTGCAAAACATGCAGGTTTATTTTGATTTGATAATAAACTGTACTTGCATTTTTTCATGTTTCATACATGTCTATTTATCTTAAGCCAGTGCTCTATATGTTATTTTCCATATTGTACAATAGCGGCACTATAGCATAGCGAAAACTGTGTCACTATCCTAGTTTTGCTATTAAGGCAATAGTGGCTTCTATTCTAGTTTATGCTAGCTGATGTAGTGAGAATAGCAGAAAAAAGAGAATTGTAGGGCTTTTCTAAAGTACAAATCTGAAGGATCTGCATATGTGCGGAGCATAACTTATTTTTATAATAAAAAAACTGAAGAGTTAGTATCAGTGTTGTTGATGGTGGATAGCAGTCCATGGTGGAGAGCCAAAATCCCGCAATACTGGCCATTTTGCGGTGCCGTTATAGCGGAAAACCCTGTAAATATCGGCTGATATTTACCATTGCGGCGAACCCAAAAATCATCGCGGATATCTGCTATAGCGCTGCTATTGCCGACATTTGATAACGCCGTAATACGTAAATTTTTTATATACAAGCTATGTTCTGCCTCCATTCCCTTTTTTATCTGTATGTATGCAGCTTGTCTTGTTATATATTTAATTAACTTTCAAGTTTCAATTGCTATGTGGCTTCTGCTATTCTATGAAGCACGGACAGAGTAGGCTTGTAGTCCTGTCGCAGTGTCTGACACGCATTGGTGTCTGACACACGCATGACACCCGTAGGACACATGTCGGAAAAGTCTTGCAAGTGTCCCCCTAAAAAAATAGTTTTTTTTTGTTTCGACACTCTTTGAACCGACGTCCGACACCTGTATGACACTCACACAATATGTGTCGGCCAATTCAGACAAGTGTTGTGTGAAACAGTGTTCTTTTTCTTGGCTTCAACACACATTATATACTTTTTGGACAAATCTCTTACACGTCTGAAATGGTTAAACATATATTGCAACATTGTTATCAATGCACAATTAAAGACATCAATTTTAATTATAATATTTTTAACTTTTTAATAATAGATGGATAAATGCAATTTTATTTACTTCTACCCAACTTGTTGGGAATTCCATCTCTGTGCTTGTATGTATATGTGCGTGTGGCAATAAACTTGAGATGGTTACTGTCAAGGTAAATTACATATATGTATACTTGTTTTCCTCCCTGTAGGGATGATTTTGAGAGGATTGGTCTAAGCAGCTTAGTCACAGTGGGAGTGAGGGACATTCAAGGCGAGGGTTTTCCTGAAGAATTTGTTGGCTTGGCTGATGCAGTTTTTTTGGATCTACCTCAACCTTGGCTAGCTATTCCTTCAGCTGCAAAAATGTTAAGACATGATGGAACATTATGCTCTTTCTCTCCATGTATTGAACAAGTTCAACGATCATGTGAAACACTTCAATCCAACTTCACTGGTACTTCCCAATTTTCTTTAAGCTTTCATTATATATGTTCCTCTTATAGTATTCATTTATACAACTAATGGTCATTAATTTAAGCACTAACAAAAGCCCTATGTAAATGTGTGTTTATATGAAAGATATAAGGACTTTTGAGGTACTCCTGCGGACATACAAAGTTCGAGAAGTGAAAACAGAAAGCTCAGAGATTAATGGTAATGGCGGCTCTAATGTTACACTTCCTTGCAAGAGGAGACAGGGTTTGGATGGAGCTAATGTTGTTAGCTATCCTAATTCTTCTGTTATGGCTAGACCTTGTGGTGAAGCTAGAGGTCACACAGGTTACTTGACATTTGCAAGAATTCAATGTTTGTCATGAAGGTTGTTCTTGTAATTTTAGGATTTATTCAATTGTAACCTTATACAAGTGTTATTTTGTGCTTCATTTATAATTTCAAAGAAAATTTTCACATACACTTAGGGGGGTATAAATGTGCTCTTTTGATTAGTTTTCACTATTCATAAATATTTAGTTTGTTTTCCTGTTATTTTTACCCAAAAGATCTATAGATATATTTTTATTGTGAAAAAACATGAATAAACGCTACTTTGAATCATGAAATTGTAAGATCTTGATAATTTAGGACTAGAGTTGGCAATGAACCGAACCAACTCGAAAATAGTTCGGAATTCGATTCGACAATTAAATCGTTGAACTAGGTTCATGAACCAAATGAGTTGAGTATGAGCGAAAAATTAAGTTCGTTAACTAAATGAGCTGAACTTGAACTATACATAGTTCGACTCGTTAGGTTCATTAGTCAACTCGATTACATATGAGAAGAATTATATTGTCTTTAAGATTAGATTTAAATATTTATTCCAAATTTTAGACAAATTTAATCTTCAATTTAGTAGTTTTTGAATTAGACTCTCAAATGTATCTCTTAAAAGTTGTGTAGGTTATGAATTAGTAGATTTCGAAGATAAAGTTAAATTTCAATATGATAACTTTTATTTTATTTTAATATTTTATTTTTAAAAAATATATTTATTTAAAATGTCAAATATACTAAAAAATATATAAATTTTAAAAAATAGTTTTTAAGTCCGTGAATCATGTGAGCTGAACCTAATGAGATGAACCTAACGAGTTGAACCGAACTGTTCGTGAATTTATAACGAGTCGAGTTTGAGCTTAAAAAAAGTTCGTGTCGAACTCGAACTCGAATAATTTTTAACGAGTCGAGCTGAGGTGAGTTCGACTCGACTCGACTCATTTTCAGCCCTATTTAGGACTTAAAATTTATAAAATATCAAATTTAATGTCTATCAAAATGTTCCCTCCTAATTTTGTTAGAGGGGCTAATGTGTGATATTATTCTAACAAATTGGAATCTAAACCAAGCCATGTTATTTAATGTCTATCAAAATGTTCCCTCCTAATTTTCTTAGAGGGACTAATGTGTGATATTATTCTAACAAATTGGAATCTAAACCAAGCCATGGTATTTGGATTGAATTTTTTTGAGTTTGTGCAAAATCCCGAATCAAACTAATAAAATTTGATATTAATTGATTTGGACAATCGATTTTAAAAATTCTATTCGCTAGTCTGTTTATTATAATCAACCATATTAATTTATGTAATTTATATCATCATTATCATGAGAACTAGTATAAAATATTCAAAAATAAGTTTTAAAAAAAATCATCAGTGACATTCACAAATATATGGAAAAACAACAAAAATTAAGAATTTTAAATTATTATAAAAAAATTAATCCATTTAAATTATATATTTAAAAAAAAAATATTTTTGCACATTTGTTTTTAATATATTCAATAAATTCAAATAAAATCAACCTATTGTTATTCGGCTTGCTCCGGTTTGTGTAAATCAAATCCAAACCAATCAATATATTTTTAATTAATTTAGACAATAAATTCTCTCGAAATCAAACCAAACTGACCCGCCATCACATCATCTGAGTAGAATAGAGCGGAGGCAGAATTAAGATTTTATTCCTTCATTTGAATATGATACTAAGTGATGGAACGAAATTCATATCACTCAATTCCTCTTTATTTAATTCAATTTTAATTAATTTAAATAATAAAATTTCATTTCATACCACTTTATTTCTGCTATCCATTCAAATGTACCCTAACTAAGTTATTTGCATTGATGTCATTTGAAGGGAGGGTGTTTCTAAAAATGAAAACTTTTTTAAAACCCAAATAATTAATTTCATTTTATACCACTTTATCATTTTAAACACGTAATTATATAATTACATATCATCCAGTTTGATTCACCACACCATTTATGGTTACATAAACATTTGTCAATATATATATATATATATATATATATATATATATATATATATATATATATATATATATATATATATATATATATATATATATATATATATATATATATATATATATATATATATATATATATATATATATATATATATATATATATATATATATATATATTTGTGAGAGTAATTTAAGTATTTCATAAATTTGAAATTCTAATTTGTTAGACACTTATTATCCTAAAATTTCAAAATAGTGGTTTACTCTGGAAAATTAACTATCATGTATAGATGAGAGCTACAATTAACACTTTTAGTGTCATGATTTTTAATCTAAGTGTCATAAACACTTTAAATTGAAGGTGTATGTGTTGTGTAACAACTAACAAGTAATAGTGTTACTAATATAGCTATGATGTGTTCAATTATCTGTGTTTATAAAATGTTTGTTTAAGTTTTACTTGTTTTTTCTTTGAAAAATCCATTTATCGTAAGTATCTAGGAAAGTAAATTAAAATAACTATTTCATTTTTAACATAAAAATTGTTTCTGTTAAAGTAATTTTTGGAAAAAGTTTATACAAATATAACAAATTTAAAAAATAATTGTTTTAAAAATCTTAACAAACAAACAAGCTTTAAAGTGTGTTAGCAACATAACATCTAATTAATTGTAAGTATGAATTTAAACATTATAAATAATAATTTCTACAACTGTTTTAGAACCATTTCTCCAAAACCAATACCTAAAAAAGTTGCAATTGAAACACCAAAAATTCCTGTAAGAATTCCAGGAACAACTAAAGATTCCCAGCTTTTAGCCTTAGCCATTCCACAAGCTGTTGTAGGTCCTCCAACATTAGCATTTGATGCTATAAGTAATACCTTCAAATCAAGCTTAAATAACTTTCCTAATCCAAGAACAACAAGAAGATGAATAGTTACTTGAACTAGTGCAAACATGAATATACTTGGAGCAGTTTTTATCACATTCAATATACTTCCACTTGCTCCAATCACCACAAAAAATACCTGGAAAATACATCTCACGTTAGATATCATTTAGGTCACACGAAATTTAAAAAAACAATTTATAAGGTGTATTATATCAATTAGAAGGTGTAATAATTTAGAGAGAATTACAAACATAGTGTTTTGACATTTATGAAAACATGCATAAAAGTGTTTTTTATTGTTTGTTATTGGTTGAGTTGATAGTTGTGCTAGCACATCGAACTGCAGAGTGCATATTCAAATCAGTCAGCTCATTTAGTAGTTGTATGGGGACATCCAACTACAGAGGCGCAAATTCGAACTCGCGAATCTCATTTAATCATCTTTAAGAGATGAAATTCTGGCAATTAAACTACTAGACAAAAAAAGAGAGTATCTTTTATTGTCTTGTTAAACTAACTTAGTCAATAACTGTGCAGGAACATTTGACTCTATGGGAACTCGCAACATCCCATTTATTCACCGTTAAAAGGTGAAATTCTGGCAATTAAACTACTTGACCAAGAAAATAGTGACTTTCGTTGTCTCATTAAACCAATTCAGTTGATAGTTGTCCATAGACATCCGATTGCAAGGACGTAGATTCAAACCCGCAACATCTCATTTATTCAACTTTATGAGATAAAATTTGGGCCATTAAATTACTAGACCAAAAAAGAGTGTCTTTTATTGTTTCATTAAACCAGCTCAGTCAGTAGCGATGCAGAGAAATTCCACTGCAAAGACGCAAATTCAAATCCGCAACATCCTATTTATTCACTTTTAAGAGATGAAATTTCCGCCATTAAACTACTAGACCAAAACATATTGAAGTGTCTTTCGATAGACAATATGGTCCATAATATTACTATCGAAAGACACACTTCGGAACCAAAATAAAATTTTGCACAAGAGAAATAACAAAGTCTTGTATTACCTGCATCAGAACTAAGGCAACAGTATGTCCCACAGGTACGAGAGGACTAATGAACTTTGGTAGCAAAGTAGCTAAAATAACAACGATTGCAGTTGCTCCTGGAAGAGTACCTCCTTGTATACCATATAGTTTTGTCAAGTATGTTGCAGCTCTACATATTAAAAACGATGTAGCAACTGCTGTAGCAGTCTGCAACACTGGCATGTTTCCCTGATTTTCCAACTTCATTTGCGTTGCATTATCTGTCAACATCACTCATAAAATCAAGCTGAAAATTCCATTCAAGATGAACAGGCATTTTCTTATAAAACTTATTTCGTCAAGAAAAACGAATGACTTTATAATGATCATAGTTCAAAAATTGCAGTCTGTAACTGCAAATGTAGCAGTATAGGCGACTAAGAATACTAATACAGTAAAAATAGTACCATTGGATGGTAGTGCAGTTTCTGCAGGTATTTTAGAAGCCAGAGCAAACAAGACCATAAAATAAACAGCACAAATAACATTATCTGCTGCCACTCCTGCAGCTAAAACCGATGGAGACAAACCAAGCGCCTCTGAAATGGCAACATAGTTAACAGCTACAACAATCAACATGCAAGGGTCAAAAGAAATTCATCCGAGTTTAGTTTATGAATGTATCTGAAGATGGAGCAAGTTGTTTAAGTACTGACATCCACCAATGTAGCTTCCCATTAGAGCTGCTGCTATTTTCCAGTTGTCGGGACCAAGAGATCTCATAGGCACTAAAAGAAATGCCACTAGAGTGCCAATGACAGTAGCAACTGCAATCCACAACATCAGAATCAGTTTCACAAGACATATTAAAAAGTCTCAAAAGTACATTTACCAGAACTATGAAACACGGACACCGACACAAACACCAAGAAACACATACTCTCTTATCCGTATTGGACACCAAACACTACACATTCAATATGAATTCTACTATTTTTGTAGATATATAGATACATAAATATAATCACCTGAGCCAAGTATGAAAGCTACGAGAAGTGTCCCGGTTGAACGCACAACTTGATGCAAATTTGCTCCAAACAAAAGCAATGGAATAGTGAGTGGCAGAATAAACTCCAAGACAATAGAGTAAGCTGGT